CATTTCAGAGCCCAAAAGATGAGTGAAAAAATAGCCCCGCGCGCCCGTACCGAAAAGCATTAAACGAAAATTGAACGAGCATTTTGCTCGTCCTGCAACAACTTGGTATTGTATAGCAGAGGTCGGCAGCGTCGTATGCACTGCAGTGCAGTACGGGTAGCGTGAGCCACAGGGACGCGGACCGGCCGCCGGGGGTTTACTTACCGGGCGGAGCAGTAAGGCGGGCTAGGGCCCGTGCAGGTCCGGGCAGTGTCAGTAAGGCCCAGGTGGGGGGTTTAAATAATGTTTTAAGTATAATTTTGGTTTTCCCAGAACCTTTTAGTTTTTTGGCGAGAGGGGGGATCAACGAGCAGGGTAATATAGACACCAGGGGCACATCAGAAACACGAACAGCCGGGCCACACGAACAACGGAAGCCAGGGGGCATAGGAAAAAATTTCGGGCAGCGCAGTCGGCACACGTACAGCGTAAAGACTTCGTGTGGTTTCGTTATTCTGCCTGATGACGTAGCGGCAGAGAAAAATCTGCTCTGCTGACGTCGCTGCAGAGAAACATGCTTCGGACTAGAGGTGGGCGCGGGCCTCTTTTTTGAGGCCCGGCCCGGCCCGAGCACGAAATGAAATTTTTAGGCCCGAATAGGCCCGGCCTGGTCATATTTAACAAGAGGCCCGGCCCGGCCCGGGCCCGGCCCGATACTTCCAACAATTATCAACTGCATAAAAATACACATATAGACATATTAGTTTTTATTTCTTAAATCTAAATAAGTTACATGTTTTTATAAAGAAATATTAGTTTATCTAAATTAGCGCTTGTTAGCCTGGTCCTCCTATCATTTAAAATATTTCCTGATGTGGAAAAAACGCGCTCACTCGTTGCTGAGCTAGCAGGAATGGCTAATATTTTTTTAGCCAAAATTTGTAGTAAATTAAGGTTTTTGGCATTTTTCCAAAAATCTAAAATGTTTTCTGCAGAAACAGGAGTGGACAAGTATTGCTCTATTTCGACATCTATGGTGCTCTTTTCCAGTTTTCTATTTTTAGCATAGTTTGAATCTAAAAATTCCGAAAATTCATGATCAATTTGGTTGGTTGTAGCCTGTTTGGGAGATTTTGAAACTAAAATCTCACCATTGATCTCGGAGAGCATTGTTTTTATAGTGGATAAAACGTTCTCCCTTTTCTCATCCGATAAAAAATTCATTTGTTTGAATGGAGGATTCAAAAATAGGCCCACTAGGTGAGCCATTGAGGGAACGAACCGCTTCAGCAAAGACTGCATAGTTTTAGCTTTTAACTCTTTCATTAACTCTGAGTCAATAACGTCGGTTAAGCAAATTTGCTGAAGCTTTTCGGACCACAATGGAAAAAGGTGCATAGTGGGTTCCTTATCAGAGCTTAATTTTTCAGAGCATTCTTTAAATTGTTTTAAAAAACACAATAGGGGATTAAGTAATCCGAAATTTAACTTAGCTATGCGGTGAAGCTCGTTTTTTTCTATCAAAAGCGATTTAATTTCATTTTGGACTTCATTAATGCTATCGAGCATAATGAACGTCGAATTCCAACGGGTTTTAATTTCCTGCTTTAAGGTTTTTGATAGCTTGTTATTAAGCTCGGAGTGCTTAAAATATTTAACAAGTTTTTTTGAACTGTCTATTAAATCAGAAATTTCAGGGAGTGGATTTTTTTCAATTACGTCTTCCATAACTAAATTTAAGTTATGGCAAGAACAGGACAATCTTTTATATTGTTTAAAAGCAGCTACAACGTTTGCACCGTTGTCTGTGACAAACACAGATGTTGTTAATTTGTGTGCTACATTAAATTCTTCAAGTATATGACTAACGTGACTCAAAATATTGACGCCAGTCTTTTTGTCTTCTAAAAACTCTCTTACCCCTAAAAGCGCAACTTTCAGTTGAAAGGTTTCATTTAAATAATGTCCGCTCAGGGAAATGAAACTCCTTTGAGTGTGTTCATCAGTCCACATATCTGTTGTGAATGCCAAGTCCTGATCTGCCACGTCTGTTATGATTCGCTCCTTTATTTTGTTATATTCTTCAATCATAACTCTGGTGCTAAGAACCTTTCTCGATGCGACCAGGTCTTGGTAGCTGTGGTTCCCAAATTCTGCACCTAAGCTAATGAGAGCCTGGGCATAATCACGGAAGCCTCTCCCTACGAATATACCGAGAAAAAAGGATATGAAGAGTCATATACACACAGACATATTAAACTTACCATCAGTCACACTGAATGGCTGTAAATCCTTAGCCACTAGAGCAAGCTGCTTACGCGTCAGGTTTTCCATAACATGTTTTGGTATATTTTTTATCGTAAACGCCATGATTGTGGGTTGTTGTAATAAAAGTGATGCTTGGCGCACACATTTGTGGCGGGTTAATGTCCCAGTTCCTTGTTTGCTTTGATATGCCAACACAGTTTTGCAGTCCACGCAACAAACAAAATCAACAATATCAGTTTCGAACTTGATCAATCTAAATTTTTTCCAAACGTCGCTTCTACCGTCTTCTTTGGTCAACAATTTCACAGTTTCATTTTTACTGTGCACAGCGTTTTGAATTTTTTCCCTCGACATTGTTGAAAATATGCTTGCTGGACGAAACGAAGAAGACAAGTAGTGTGACCGCGGAATAATCGATCAAACATACAGTCCGATCCTCAGAAATATACAAAAATATACCGTCCAATCCTTATAAATATACCGAAATATACCGTCAGACCCTCAGATATATTCGGAATATACCTTCTCTCCTTTTCAAAATATACCATAAATATACCTCTTCGGGCCTAGCGGGCTTTTAGCTAACGCACGAAGCCCGCACGACTTCGTGCCAAACTCTATTTGAGGCACGAAGCCCGCAGTTTTCATGACGAGGCCCGCGGGACACGAAGCCCGGCCCGGCCCGCGCCCACCTCTACTTCGGACTATGCACAAACGGCTTCATATTCTGCCCGCTTGCCTCAGCGGCAGAGAAGCATTCGTGTGCCCTATGCACAATTCTTCGGCTTTCGCAGCGGCAAAGAATAAACCCTGCAGTACGGGTAAGCGATGTGTAAGCAACCACACATCGATGGCAACGTCATGCAGCTCGATGACATAAGCGATGACCTGCCATACGATGGGCTGTTTACTTTAACAAAGGGATGTCCTAGGAGCATAATCGATGACATAGTAAGCGAGAATTAGCCGAAAGTCAGGCCTTAATAAGCGATGAATTTCCCTTAAAAAGTAAGGCCCTAATAAGTGATGTATTTAAGTAAAAAATTTGATTTTTTGATGAAAAAGGCATGGGTAAATTCTGTTTTAAAATATTAAATTTCTTTTATTTATTGTTTTCTTATACAAATGTATACATATTCACATTTTTGTGCTGTTTGTTCTTTTTTCCAAAGAACCTTTTTAGTTTTTATGATTTTCTCATGCTCAACTGAATCGCCTTTAAAACAAGATGGGTTAAATAAAATATTTTTCAATTTGTTAACAATGCTCTCAGTAGATCAGCAGTGCATTTGCGCCAAAAACAAAACACTCGCCAAGATATGTACCTGTTCCACTCAAGATTCGCAAGAACCACTGGGGTTTTTTTTTTTTTGTTTCGTTGTTGGAAATGAAAAATTTCGTCCAAAACGCATTTAATTTCGTAATATCACATTTTCTTCAACGCACAATAGACTATTTTTAATTAAATTAAACACTGCACTTACCTGATAATAATTTTGCCCAAAATAAACAAAACCTGCGTCTCACTTTTCACCGCACAATTCTAACAACGTTGTCGACGCCGACGGAACCGAATTCTGTTACGGCACGAGTCGTAACAGAAAGAAACAAAGAAAAACGAGAAGGAACGTGTGAGTCGCTTCTGGGGACGCGACTCTACTTATACCCGTACTCAGTCAGTATATACATTTTTGAGATTATAATTTTTTTGAATTTTAGAAAAAAAAAAATTACATTTTTTTGCTACATCTGTTATCTACATCTACATATACTATGTATATTCTACATCTAACATGTATATTAAACATGTACCATTTAGATTCTACATCTCCTCCGCTAGGGGTTGCTCGCGCACTGAACGCGGCAGAGTGTGCGAGCGAGAAGGAAAATGAGTTGCGTTATTGTGTTCAGGAGGGGGCAGGGGAAGGAACAGAAAATTAATTTCTTCATTCTGGCTATGATTATTATCCGATCTGATTCAGATTCGGCAATCTGGTAGATATGGTCATTCTCTACGATACTGCGTTTTTAGTTTTATCGTATCTTTAAAATTGTGCCTGCCACAGATTTTCGTCCTTTGTGGGGGCGGAAGGGGGCGGGACGAAATTTTGAAATACACTTGTAGCAGTGTGATATCACATGAGTCTGGAAACCAAATTTGGTTACCCTAACTCTTATAGTCTCTGAGATCCAGGCGCTCAACAAGACGGACAGACGGACAGACGGACGGACGGACGGACGGACAGACAGACATGGCTATATCGATTCGGCTATTGATGCTGATCAAGAATATATATACTTTATGGGGTCGGAAACGTTTCCTTCTCTGCGTTACACACATCCACTTTTACCACAAATCTAATATACCCCTTAACTCTTTTTTGAGTACGGGTATAAAAAGAGTTTGGTCTGACCGACGCGTCGATCGCGACGTCGACGTCATATTCTATTCGTCTGTTGCAGCGGCAGAGAAAAAATCCTGAATGACGCGTAGTTGACATTTGTCATCGCTCACTTCTGGTACTGCAGGGTACGGTACGCCACAAACCCACACACATGAAAATACACAGCGACAGTCACGGCTAGATATATATGTACATATATGTACATACATGCCCGTACACACGGCCACATTGAGTTGGAGAAATTTTTGCATATATGCATACTAGTATATATGTGTATGTATACATGATTCGGTTTATTAGACTCGTACAAAAGCACACAATATGCCTGTCTGCTGTGGGGCTGTGGGGTACGGGTTGTGCCCTTCCCTTAACAGGCATAACAGGCAGACAGTACCCCATCTCTCTGTCTCGCCTTCTCTCGCTCATTCTGTCTATGCCTCTGTGTGTTTCTGTGGGTAAATTCAATTACAATATTTGCGCTGATATCTCCGTTTGTTTTTTTGCTCACTTCTTTTGTTCGAGTATTCATATTTATTGTACGGAATTTTAAATGGCTATATTTACATTGCTAATTTCCACACACAGGCTCGTGAGCAGAACTTTCAATAGTATATGTGGGGCGCATTTGGCGGAGCAACGTTTTGCATTCGGCAGTTGCACAATTGCTGACCAATTAATTGACAAAGTTCATTGTAGGCTCCCTTTTTTGTGGGTCAGCTCAGTCTGCTAGAAGATTGGAGAGGCAGAGAGGAAATATAAATAATTTCTGGCCGCTAAACGCGAACGTTCAATATTTAAACATGGTTTCGTGGCTTTCCGAGGAGTGTTTTTGTTTGGGCCTTCCAATGTGGTCCGCTTGAGCTTGTCTCATTGAAATAGTTTGTCCAATGCATTAGTGTATCGACTAGTGTTTATGTATGTGTGTCTAGTTGGGTGGGTGTGTTATGGCTTGTATGTGGCATGTGACTGTCAATTTGTGTGACTGCTGCTGTATTTGCATCACAATTTAAATTACCCAAAAATGGTTAGGATTATCTGAAAGCGTTTTGGAAACGGTTTGTTTCTTTTTCCATACCATTATTTAGTACTGTCGTATTTTTTCCCCAGGCAGCAATTAAGGTCTAGTCTGAAATTAAAGAAAATTCATTGATAGTTTGACAACATATAAATAAAAAACGAACGTGTGTGTCGCTTCTGTGGACGCGACTCTACTTTTATACCCGTACTCAGTCAGTATATAAATTTGTGAGCTTATGATACATATATGTAGAATATTTAAAAATTTTACATTTTATATTTTTTTTCTATATCTGTCATCTACATCTACTATGCATATTCTACATCTCCTCCGCTAGAGGGTGCTCGCGTACATAGCGAGGCAGAGTGTGCGAGTGAGAAAGAGAATGAGTAGCGGGTCTCTGGCAGGTGTGGCAGAGGAAGCAACTGAAAATTAATTTCTTCACTTTGGCTACATATGATCCGATCTGATTCAGATTCGGCAATCTGGTAGATATGGTTATTCTCTACGATACTGCGCTTTCAGTTTTATAGTATCTTTAAAATTGTGGCTGCCACAGATTTCCTTTTTAAAGGACTTTGCCTACATTTGCGGGAGGAAAGGTTAGGTTTGGTTTGGTTTGGTTATCCCGAACGGCCCTCACGGGGCCACGCATAGGCCGGTATAGCCGATGTTATATGTATGGATGTTCTTGAGTGTTTTACGCGGTTTCGAAGTCCGTGAGGATCGAGTAGATTTTCGCAAAAGCAAGAAGTTCCCTTGGCGTTCTCCTGGATGCATCTTCCAGCGATGCCAGCCCCGGGCCGCCAAGGTATTTGTATCTTGCCCATGAGAGAGCCGGGCACTTGCAGATAAGATGTTCCAGGGTTTCGATAGCCCCAGATTCATGACATTTCCTGCAGTTGCCACTGTTGGTGATGCCTAGTTTGACTGCATGTGCTGCAGCCAGGCAGTGACCTGTAGCACCCTACAGTCCTTCCGTATTTGGTGCAATAGGTAGTGGCTGAGTTTCCGCCTCTCTAGATCGCTTTGAAGCGTTCTGAGGGAGACAGGCACGTTCTCAATCCTGTCGTTCGCCAGCCCGACGCCAGAACGTCTGCTGTCTCGTTACCTTCGATGCCCTGGTAGCTGGGAACCCAATAAACCCGCACTGACTTTGTCGTGCTTAGGAAATCTAATGACCGCTTGCCAGAACATTTTTGGAACTGACCCCTGACGACTGCATGGATCTTATCGCCGCCTGGCTGTCTACGAACAGGCTTACCACATCATGTGGGCGATCCGTACATTGAGCAACCTCCGCCGCTTTCCGTATGGCGAAGACTTCCGCCTGAAATATGTTGCATTGGCTCGGTAGCTTATAGGACAGCCTTATTTCAGGGTCTTTACAGTATATTCCCGCTCCTACTCCTCCTTCTATCTTGGAGCAGTCTGTGTATATGTTTAGGTGTTCAGTCTGAACCCGACTCTCTTTTCAGTCGTCGGGTCCCATGAGTGATGTTATTTTGACGTCCAGGCAAGTTCGGGGGATCATGTAGTCAGATATACTGATCATGTCTCGGCGTATTGAACTGTGCCCGAATCCTTGCAGCGACATTTTGCCTGATGCGACTAGGCGTGGTGCTGCCTTACCTGCAATCAGTTGAACTTGGATGTCCAGGGGATCGATTCCGAGTATTGTTTCGAGTGCTTTTGTTGGGGTTGACCTCAGCGCCCCAGTGATGCAGATCAGTGCCGCTGAGTTCTCTCCATGAGCTTGTTGTAAGTCTTCTTTTCTATAGCCTGCCACCACACTAAGACTCCATACAGCAGGGTCAGTCGCACTACCGAAATGTAGATCCAGTGCATTAGTGCAGGTGATAGGCCCCATGTGCTGCTAAGCATCTTCTTGGATGCATATAGCGCAATGGTGGCCTTCTTCACCCTTTCCAATACATTGGGTCTCCATGCCAGCTTGCTTTCCAGTACTATGCCGAGGTATTTCACTTGTGTTTTTGGGTTCAGCCTGGTTCTGTCGATTTTCGGGGGGATCCATACCGGCACCTTGTATCTCTTGGTAAAGAGGATGAGCTCCGTCTTGTCCGCGTTGATACTGAGTCCTACTTTTCCGCCCACTTACACTGACGAGCAAAACTGTACCACGATGTCAGTAGTCTCACTTCAACGGTCTGTATCTTCTGTTCTCTTTTATGCATGCTGAAGATCTTAATCTTGTTTTGTTGGTGATTAAGTCTACTATGTTTTCTGAAAATTTTTTTAGTAATGTGTTTACATCCCTTTTGATTTTTCGAGTTCCTTAATGCGATTTGGCATACTTTGGGTTTATCGTTGCACAAATTCAGGGGGTATAGAGTACCAAACGTCCTTTGTCCTCTCCCAGAGCTGCCTCATTCCAGTTGGAGGGATCGCATATTTCGCCAGCTGCGATTTGACATGGCTCCATAAATTTTCAATTGGGTTCATGTCTGGAGATTGTGGTGGCCACTTCATACATTGAATTTTTTACCAATTTTTTACCAAAATACCAATACATTTTTCGGCAGCAAGACCCATGTTCCCGATCGCATCTGGTAGATTCTGTTGCAGAATGTTTAAATACTGCTCTTTTCGCATTATGCCGTCAATTAAAATCAAAGGACCAACTCTATTTTTATGTATACAGCCCCAAACCATGATTGAGCCACAACCGTGCTTAACGGTTTGCCGCACAGTACTTGGGGACTGGATTTTGGGATCTCTAGTCCAATACCAGGAGTGTCTGACTCAAAACGATTAATTTTTGTTTTATCTGAACCATATAAACTTATCCCACAGTCCAGTCACCAGTCACAAAAACCAACTTAAAGTCAGCGTCAAGCACGGTGGCGGTTCAATTATGGTTTGGGGGTGTTTTTATAAAAATGGAGTTGGTCCCTTGGTGTTAATTGATGGAATAGTATGAAAGGAACAATATTTAAGCATTCTGCAACAGAATCTTCCAGAATATGGGTCTTGGTGGTGAAAAATGCATTTTTCAGCTAGAAAATGACGCAAAACACACGTCCCTTTTGGTCAAAAATTGGGTGTCATGGCAAAAATTTAAGTCCATGAAGTATTCACCATAATCTCCCGATATAAATCTTATTTTAAAATGTATGGAACCATCTAAAATCGCAGCTGCTGAAATATGCGGTCTCTCCAAGTGCAATGATGGAGTTGTGGGAGAGGAAAAGGATGTATGTTACACTGATAGAAAAAAGGCATAGTAAAAATAATTACAATCATATTTGAATTTAAAATGCCATTTTTAAATACAAACAAAGTAAAATTTAATATTATTATGACTTGATTTCAAAATTTTTCTTTAAAAATCCAAAGGAAAAACTTTTTATTTTAAATATTCCATATTAAATGAAATCAAATAATTTTTGTATTTATTTTAGCTATGTTTATATTATTTTACGTCCCTCGAATTGCCAACTGGTTCCAGCTGCTGCCGCCTTGAATACACAGTAAAATTATCTTAGCGCAGGGGCATAATCACAACCAATGCAGTTCTACTCATGTTGCGATTATTTCTAGTTGAAAACTTTAACCAATTCACACCATGAGGACTTTAAATGTAATTTGCGTACGCAAAATAATAACCAATTAGTTAAAAATGAATATAAATATAAATATGAAACATATTAGATTTAAATATTAACCATGTTAAATTTAAATATGAAGCATATTAAAATTAAATATGAAACATATTAAATTTGAATATGAAAAATATTAAATTTAAATATGAAACATACTAAATTTAAATATGAAACATATTAAATTTAAATATGAAATATATTAAATTTAAATATTTCTATATTAATATCAAAATTTAAGTGAAAAATATTAAATTTTAATACAACCACTCTTGGATGAAAATCAATGGAATAAATATTAAAATCTAAGTGAAAATATTAAAATTTTAGGGATTTTTTCTATCGGTGTACGCTATTCAACCTGCAATGGTGCAACTCTACATCCACAAAATGGCAAATTGCATGGGAGAACTGAAAAAATTAAAAGGGCTGTGGACACATTATTAAAAAATTATTAATACAAATATTTGTTTAAAATATAGCCGCAGTGCAAAACTGTAACATTTGACTTTTTTATACCCGTACTCAAAAAAGAGTTAAGGGGTATATTAGATTTGTGGTAAAAGTGGATGTGTGTAACGCAGAGAAGGAAAATTTTCCGACCCCATAAAGTATATATATTCTTGATCAGCATCAATAGCCGAGTCGATAGAGCCATGTCTGTCTGTCCGTCTTGTTTGACGCCTGGATCTCAGAGACTATAAAAGCTAGAGGAACCAAATTTTGTTTCCAGACTCATGTGATATCACACTTTTACAAGTGTATTTCAAAATTTCGCCCCGCCCCCTTCCCCTCACACAAAGTACGAAAATCTGTGGCAGGCACATTTTTAAAGATACGATAAAACTAACGCAGTATCGTAGAGAATGGCCATATCTACCAGATTGCCGAATCTGAATCAGATCGGATCATAATTATAGCCAGAATGAAGAAATTAATTTTCAGTTGCTTCCCCTCCCCCTCCTCCCACAAACGACAACGCAACTCATTTTCCTTCTCGCTCGCACACTCTGCCGCATTCAGTGCGCGAGCAACCCCTAGCGGAGGAGATGTAGAATCTAAATGGAACATGTACATTGTACATTCTACATGTTAGATGTAGAATATACATTGTATATGTAGATGTAGATAGCAGATGTAGCAAAAAAATGTAAAATATGTAAAATTTTTTTTTTTTTCTAAAATTCTAAAAAATCATAAGCTCAAAAATGTATATACTGACTGAGTACGGGTATAAGTAGAGTCGCGTCCCCAGAAGCGACTCACACGTTCCTTCTCGTTTATATTTTGGTTTGGCAAATTTCTTCCGGCTAAAAAAACTAGTTAAATGATTCACCAACAAAACAAGACTAAGATCTGTAGCATGCATAAAACAGAAGACAAGCTACAGGCCGTTGAAGTGAGAGTACAGAATTAGTGTTACAGTTTTGCTCGACAGTGTACATATCTCCCCTGAGTGCTGATTCCATTATAGAGCTAAGG